CATGTCATCGATGGGACACAGAATGCCAGAAAATACATTGACACTATTCTAGAACTAAAACTTCAACCTTCAATCAGAGATCTCTTTCCCAACAATGCTTCGTTTATTTTTCAGCAGAATTCTGCTCCTTGCCACACGGCCAAAATATTGAAAGAGTGGTTTCGAACAAAGAGCATTAAATTGTTGTCATGGCCAGGAAACAGTCCTGACCTCAATCCTATCGAAAATTTGTGGCACCGTTTGAAAACTCTTGTCCGAATGAGGCGCCCATCAAATAAAAGGGAACTAATTGAGGCTATAATTGTTTCCTGGCATCATGTAACAACGAAAGAAGAGCTTAAAACTCTTGTCAGCTCAATGAAATGTCGATCTGAAGCTGTAATCAAAAATAAAGGGTACCCTACTAAGTACTGATAACTCACTGCAGTCATCACTATCTAATGTATATCGATAACTATTATCGTTTAACTTTTTTTGTATTGTAAATAATTGAAATTTTTTGTTTTGTATTGAATTCAGTAATAAATTCTCTTTAAAATGATATATACAAGTTTGCATTTTGTGAAACGTAACGTTTTCTATAAGCATACAAAGTTAAAAAACATAAAAATTTCCAAAAGTCTCCACAATGTTGGCCACCACTGTATATTGGCGAGAGGAAGAAAAGTTCGTGTGCAATGCAGTGTATTCGATTCTCACCTTAGCTACTTGTACTTGGGCCAAAGGTCTAATTCAGTTTAGTGCTATCTTTTTCAGGTACTGTGTCGAAGTATGTTCCTGTTTCTGTTTTTTATTATTGCCTAAATAGGTAAGCCTGATGATATTAAGGACTGATGATGATTCTATGTAAGTTATCTCCTTTTCGATAATTCAGTGTTTTAATGTCTGTGAAGATTATTACTTTTTGTTATGCTTAAGTTAAGCAAAATTATCCTATTTTACTAAATAAAGATTTCGTAGTTAATTTTTTGACTTATGATTCTTTAATGAAAACTGCGCGCCAGGAAACTTACTCATTACGCCTTCAGTGCTAATGCATAAACTAACACTTTGTCCATAGAGTTTCCCAAGGTCGACTCATCTCAGCCCCTTCTCTTTTCCGTTTCATTACAGGCCACGGACCATTTCCCCAATATTTCTATCAAAGGGGAATATCAACTGATCATTGTGTCTGTAATGGTACACTTGATCATAACGTTACGTCTTGCCCTCTCACTGAAGAATGGCACATGAGGCTTCCTGATATGACGTTACGTATAAACGCTTCTTCATTAAGCAGCCGGCCTATCTCAAGAAGCTCAAAATCATTATGAACAAACTTGAAGCACTAGGACTAGAATTATGCAGCCCACAATAGCAGACTTAAATTTCGTAGAGATTCAAAGCATCAATTCACACTGATTTCCAGTGGCCTCTGCAAGAAGCCCATCTTGAGTCAGTGCGCAGAGTAACATTAGGCTGGGAACACGAAAAACAAATGTAAATATGCTTTAATATTATCCAAATGTAAATAGTTTAATTATGTATATTTGTAATGAGCATATTAATGTATGGGTGCAATATTGTAAACATGTGCATTTTATAAATAGAATATTGTGCAGCGTATTGTGGATAATGTATTGTATAGCACACTGTGTATAGTACCTTCGTAAAATGTGTAAGTGCTCGTAGTATGCAGAGCTATGCTTTGAGCCGCAGGAAGCATAGTAATTATAACTGTAGTATTACAACTTAATGTATTCAAGAGCACAGAATGTAAATATTATAGTAGTAATTATTATAGTAGTGATATGTATGTAAATATTATTGCATTCTGTATATTTTAGTGTATTGAGTGATTTATATATAGCAGTGTGTTAACGTGCATATTATGAAATGTATCGTGCATGGTAAATACGGTATTTAATGTATCTAGCACATGTGATTTTTTAAGTGCAATTAACTTAATCTGTAAGTTTTTTCCCCCTCAATGCGTATTTCTAACACTGTTTTTTATAAGCTTTTTGTATTAAGAATTATGTTGTATATAACAAAGAGTTACTACCACTGCCTATATTATTTAATCAAGAGTAATGTTCAATGTAATATGTAGCCGATACACACAGTGCATTAAGTGTAGAAATGAGTTTTGTAAGGTGTCCTAAATATAGTGCAGTGTTCAATGTAATATGTATTATAAAAATTTTAGTGTACTGAGTGTTTTATATATAGCAGTAGGTTAAGGAGCAATGTAACCAATAGAATGTTTAATTACACAGTTATTTTTAGTATGTTTTAAGAATACAGCAAAATTTATGCCACAGTTAACTTTTAACATGTCATTTAATCAAAAGTAATATGGGGTGTACTGTGTCCTTAAATCTGTATTTTGTATATTATAAGTACAGCATAAAGTAAACAACTAGTATTTCAGTGTGCTAATGTGTAGTTTGTTTGTAATGTGCAATTTTGCTCTTTATTTAAGAGCTCTTAATTTATTTATATGTTGTATCAAGTTATTTATTTAAGTCTGTCTTATATAACGAAGTTATGTACTACATAATCCAGTTATGTCTTATTTAAACAATTACATTGTTCAGAATCTATGTTAAATCGTCAAGAATAATGTTCAGCGTAATATGTTGCAAAGAATATATAGTGTATTAAGCGTAGCATTGAGTTGTAAATGTGCCTTAAGTACAGTGCAGGGCAATGCATATTATGAAATGTATATTGTAGCGAGTATGTGTAGCAATGTGTTACAATGCGATGTAGCCAGGAAAATGTTTAATTTCGCATGCAGAAAAATCTATATTTTGCCCTTGTATTGTTTTCGAAGTGTAGCTTCAGATAGTTGCAGGATCCGGACGATACCCGATTAATCTATGTAAGCCATCCGGGTGTCCGGACCTGCTCTCACCTGTCACCTGTATATAAAATGGGTAAGGATGTACTATGCGATTTATGATATTCTATATAGGATCTTCATCAATGAAGTGAAATATCTTAATCAATTTTTTCACATTTTTGTATTCTGTTTTTTTTTTTTTTTTTTTTTTTTTTTTAGCAAGTTTGAAACTTTCCTAAATAAAGTATAGGAGCCGGAGAAATATAATAAAGTTAGATGTAATTCTTACAAAACTCATTTCTTTAAATTAAAAAAATGCCCACATATGGATCTTTGTGTCATTAAAATTCATTTTCTATTTGTGTACAATTAACGGTTGCGGTCTTTTGTGTACGTTGGGTATACAGTGGCGTAGCTACAAGGGGGCACTCTCGGCGGCACTTTTCTCCTCAAACATTATTTTATAGGGCTAGTTTTGTGGACTGCCGAGGCAGACACAGAATATTGAAATTCTTAATTGCCATGCGTAATTAAACTGAGAAGAAGCATAGTTTTTACTCTCGATAAAAAATTCAAAGAAAACATTAAAAGATTCAACTTTTGTTATACAGAGGCTGTTCACACATTTTTTATACGATGTATATTGTATTTAAAAAACTAAATTACTTAAAATTCTTGTGTTTTAAATGTTCTATTTAGCATCCCTTATTCTGAACTATCTTTCGACACCGCAATTTCCAGGATAATAATGCCTTTTGAATTGGCAGAAGATGTATTCTATCCCATTCCTCCGGAACAGCTTTCCAGAGTCCTGTTAGGGTTTTGGTACAACGTTTGGATAATGCAGTTTTTAAAGTTCGAAAGCACAAAACTCCATAGGTGACACATCGGGAGATTTAGTAGGGATATCAGTGAAGGGTATGGCTTTGATACCAGTTTTTTGTTCCATTTCTTTTAGGAAATTTACAGTGGATTTTGATGTGTGACTGCTAGCTTTGTCCTGATGGAGTCTCACAGATTGATGGCACTGTGAGTAAAGCGATGGTATTTCATTCAGAAAAATTGGCGACAAAATATGTTCCTGATAGTATTTGTAGTTAATCTTGACATTTTTTGCACTCTCTTTATTTTTAACTTGCCATTATAAGAAAACCCAGCAACAATCATGAATCCCTTAGAAAAACTTTCTTTCGATTCTTTGAACCATGTACTTAATTTTTTTTCTCCCTTTTTATGATAATACATGGCTCTTTTTTGTTACAATCATTTAAATACACCCATGTTTCATCTATTGTGACAATTGTTTTCCATTTATCTTTGGATAAGTGTTTCTCATATAGAATTCTGCAGCGTGTTCTGCGTTGAGCGATATGCTTTGGAAGAAGACGATGCATATTGCGTTTTTTCGCTTTCTTAAGATTTAAATCAACGTTTATCATTTTGTTTACAGTGGACACCGAGCATTTATATGATTTTGCAACTGTCCTTTGCCTAGGGGGGTTTTCTTTTAACATTAAACAACGTACCTTTGCACTAGTCGAAGATGCCTGTTCTTTCCTTGGATACTTGTTTGGAATTTTTGTCCCACTTGAGGCTCCAATTTGACGTTTTGTTTCTTTCTTGTTGATGATATTACCCATCGACGCTTTAGATATCACAAAACCATGACTCTCATATCGTTTTTGGATAACGGAGTATGCATATTTCTCTTCGGAAAGAGCGTAAATGTAGCCTTCGAACCACTGCTTTGTTAAATTCGCCATTTTGAATAAAAGCAAAACTTTCAAGCCACAGACGATAATTTTTTGCTTTTAAAAACACAGTACAATTGCAATTACTTCTTTTGCAGCAAACGATTTTTTATTACCACTTACTAAAATCGTCTGAAAAATGTGCGAACAGCCTCTGTACCTTTCTTATTCAGTCGCAACTTTTGAATAAAAATTATGAATATCAACTAAAGTGGGATAATATAATTTTAAAATGTTGGAAATGAAGTTTTTCTTCAATATTAAACTTAGAGTTTTAATGGATTTCCCTATATGTCATTTTGACTAGTTTGTACATCAAGAGAGAATCGAAGCTGCAAAATCTCTAGCTACACCACTATGTGTATAATATCTGTAACTTCCAATCGACGGTAATGAGTAAAACGAGGAACCAAAAATTGGGAGCGAGAAATTTTTATTTATTTCACAACATTTATAAACACAGATTTTTGTCAGACGTTAAATGTTATTTAAATATGTTCTATGCATTTTAATATTTAAATTCTCAAACATTCTTCAGCATTCCTTCCGGTATATTCCGTAGCGTGGTGCTGTGGAAGGTTACGGTCTCTTTTCGAATCTCCTTGGGCTTGCAACAGCAGCAGAATAGATACCGTTTGAAGTAGTTGCGGAACACGCTACTGATGAGGTAAAGCGCGATCGGATTCAAACAGCTGTTAGCGAAGGTCATGACATACCCCATAATCTTCCAGCTGTGCCAGAAGGAATTGTAGTGTGCGTTCGGGTTTGGATCGAAGTAATACCAGATAAGAAAGACGTGGCTGGGGAAGAAGCAGACGGCGAAGATGACCACGAAAGCCAAAACTATCTTGGCCACCTTCGTGCGCGACCTGAGCTGCTTCAACTGGGTTGGATTCTCTCCGATGCTATTTCTAGAACTCAGCATGAGATGCCATGCGATCATGACGTAGAAAGACGCGATTAGAATCAGAGGGATTCCATACAGCAGCATAAACTTGGTGATGACGACTACGCGGGGATACCACGGCATGAGGTTTTGTGGGAACGGATAGCAAACATAGATGACCTTGTCCTTGCTGACTGGGACCTCCCAGAGGAAGGAAACATAAGCACCCGGAGTTGCCAATAAAATGGACAAGAACCAGATCCCGAACGCCGTCGCAATTGTCATGGTCTTAGCATTGCTGTTGGTGTGCCTCTTGATGGGCAGAACGATGGCTATGTATCGATCGTAGCTAAGCATCGTCAAAGTGAAGACGGTCACGCCCATGGAAACGTCTTTCAAAAACTCGCTGAGTTTGCAAATGAACTCCCCGTACGGCCAGCTTTCGAAAGTGTAGATAGTGCTTATGAAAGGAACTGTTCCAACAATGAGGATGAAATCCCCCACGGCTAAGCTCATTATGTAGGTGTTAGGGATCGTTCTCATGGTCCTGTGCCGGAGGAAGATGCAAATGAGAGTGCCGTTGCCCAAGAAGCCAGCCACGAAGACCACAGCGAAGACAATTGGGACTATGTAAGTTTCCATTCTTTCCTCATAAGGCACATATTCAGTGGAATTCCAAGTTCCGTTGTCCTCCATATCATTGGCGACCATCATTTCCATGTTGGAGTAGTTGACCAGAGGTAATGTTGATGGGCAGGCTTCGCACAAAGACTCATCAGTTACTGGTCCAATGTCGGAAAGCTCCATATTAATATAAAAAAAATTACGGAAGCTGGGAATTACACTATAAATACATTATTGTCCATTTTTTTACAACTTATACGAAAACTCTCTTGCTTTTATTCAAATGGCATAAAATCCGATGATTTTACGTGGAACTATATAATTAATGTATGCGTAGTACACGTTTCATCAACTGCTTAAAAAATTCAGTAATGTCTGAAGTGTAATTTTATTTTTATGGTTCAGATATATGATTACAGTTACAGGTCCTCACTTTATTTTCAATACATTTTATTTGATCTTTGCATCTTGAAATGTATATCCGCTTCAACTATAGTACTGGTAAATGTCACTCGGTAAGAATGGCTATGGGTTTTTCCCCCTTGTAGTGGTGTAATGGAAGATTTATCGGGAAATCCCCCCCCCCCAAAAAATAAATAAAAGTATGGAAGGAAATTTCTTTCGCAAAAAGGAAAAAAGGAATTTTTCTTTTGAATGGAAACTCTGTCGACGGTTTCCTTCACCAGTGCTGGGTTTCTATTTTTGGGGGAACTTTCTGAATGAATCTGAAAAGAAAAAATAAACACAGTTTTAAGAAATGACAAATGTAATATTAATTTCATATGAAGAATACCAATAAAAAGTTTAGTTTTTTATTTAATTAAAAAAATGCTAGTTCAAAGTAAATATATTGTTAAATAAATAACAGTTCCTTCAATTTATCTTTGCAAACTAGCAAGTTTTATTTCTTTTCTTTTTTTTTTTTTTTTAAATCTGATGTCTACACCACATGACTTCCTTGTATGGAATATTAAATTATGCGCATTTTTTCTTGCATTTCATTTAAACTTATTAGATTGAAATAAACCTACTTCGCCGACACCGCATAAACCACAATAGAATAAATGCATTCTTTAAAATTCACTTTGTTTACCATAGCGACACTCTGGCGCTAGGTTCACTTAACAGTACTATCTTTCGTTCATACGAGTATTATAACTCAGAATGCACAAAATTTATATCATTTAAAGAATTATCTAATCGTTGCCACATGTTCTATTCAAATACTATAATAAAGCTAGAACGACGTATAAAAGAAATTAAGCAAAGAAAGCAAAAAAGAAACAGTTTTTCACAGACGATTGAGTATTTCTCATTCAATTAATTCAGTTTTCACTTCGCGACAAGGCAAAAATACATAAAAACTCAAAATATCTCTATTAAAAATTACGAAGTAAATCTTAAACGCTTATTTCCTCGAAGAAATGCCAGAAAGGATTAAGCATGATTTAAATAATAAATGAAGGCGTTATCTTTGTTGTTGCGAAGCTAAGTTTCTCTAGATTGGCAACAAATCCGCTATCCTGCTGTTTCAAATGTAAACAAGAGCAATGGCCGCCATCAAAAACATTATTAGGCTTAGCGGCACTTAAACAACTTTAAAATTGTTGATAATTCTAAAAATATTGCATACAGATTTACTAAAGGCATAAAAACCTTAACCGGAAGATAAGAACAACATAATTCAATCATTTTAAAGCAAAAAATGCACAATTTACAAAATTATAAGAGTAAAGAAATTGAGATCACTGAGCCGGGTAACAGAGTGGATATATATATATATTATATACGTTTGTTGCGGATGATTGCAACCAAAATACGAGGTGCACATCTACATGTTATAGCAGTCCTATATACAAAATTTCAACGTTCTGAGGCTACTCGTTTTTGAGTTATGTGAGATACGTACGTACGTTCGTACAGACGCCACGAAAAATTCTCTTCAGAATTCATTTTAAAGCAGTTTTATAATTTTTTTTGGAGGAAAAGAGTCTTTTATTCTGTCCTTACGTACAGATATCACGGAAATACATCGTTAAATTGCATTTGAAAGAGGTCAGAATGGGATATTTTCGTTGAAATATGCTGCCTGAAACTTTTCGCGATTACAATACTTCCTTTTTACTTCGTACAAGGAAGTAAAAAAGCCCAAAAAGGTTACTAACATCGAAACACCATTTTGCGTTAATTTATTTTAAATTCGTTGCTTCGCCAGTTATGTCCCATTTCAGGCTTTTTTAGGTAAAGCATTTTTGAAAATTCGTCCTATTTCAGTCTTTTTTACGTATATGGGGTAGGTAAGAGAAGTTCTGATTTCAGACTCTCCATTCAAGTTCAGTGCTACACCTGAAAATGGGATCCAGTGTCACATCATAATTGTGAAAGATTCCCTTCAACGCTTATTATTAAATTATCTGATAATAACATTTCGTCCTTTAAGCTTGATAGTTAAAAAATGTATGCATACTGTATTAATATCATTCTTAGTAAACAGGACGTAATGTAGTAAAGATGACCGTTTTATTTGATTACAAAACAATGGTGTTATTTTGAAGGATAGTCTCATGGCCTTAAAAAAAATAACGGTTAAAATACAGTGTGTTTCAAAAAACAAATATATAGGCATTTCGAATGCAGAAATTTATTAAACTGTGTGACATACGAATATGAAACTTTACACACATATGTACGAACCTCTCAAGTTCAGATTACAGATGTTCAATATGTCCTCCATCAGCGACACGAAGAATATCACATCGATACTCAAATTCCTCCCATACTCGGGCAAGCATGTCCGTCGTCTCTGATGTTATGACAGTACGGATCCGGTTATTCACCTCTTCCAACTTCTGTGGGAGTGCTAGTAAATAAACGTTGTCTTTAATGAAATCCCCACAGAAAGAAGTCACAGGGTGTCGAATCCGGTGATCATAGAGGCCAGCTGAGGCATACTAAGTCGCCAGCTCCTTGGCAACCAATCTAACGGTTCGGTAGAGTTTCATTCAGATAATCATGCACTTGGCGACACCAGTGAGGGGGGGCCGTCTTGTTGAAAAATGAAGTTGTCTTCGTGCAGCCTCTGAAACAACCAGTTTTGTAACATAGCGATATACTGCTGACCGTTAACCGTGTTTCTATCAAAGAATGGACCGTAAACAGATGATCGGGTTATCGCACAAAACACATTGATTTTTGTCGAATCTCGTACATGTTCAATGGCTGCATGTGGGCCCCAAATTCGAACATTGTGTTTGTTTACATGACCACTAACATGAAAAGTAGCTTCATCACTGAACAGGATGCGTTGTGCGAAAGCGTTATGATTGTCAATAGCATCAATAATCTCGTTACATATGCCACACGTTTTCGTTTGTCATCAGGGGCGCAGAGCCTGTAACAAATGTAACTTTTACGGCTTCATAACCAACCGCATCTTGAATTTTACTCGCCATGTGTCTGGCGCATAATAACCCTCGAGGTTTAGTGCCATTTAAAAAACCAACCAACCAAACATAACCAACCGACGTCTCAAAACACGCCAAATTGTTGTTGTAGGCAGTTGTAACTCCCTACTGGCACGACGAGTTGATTTTGAAGGACCACGTTGGAAAGCAGTTTGAATTCGTGCAACATTTTCATCGGGAACACGAAGGCGGCTAGGACTCTTTCCTTTACATACACATTCTGTATTTACAAACTGTCAATACCATCTGCGAATGTTCCACCCATTCGAAGGATCACTTTGGTACATCAAAGTGAAACGTCTCTGCACTGTAATCACGGAATTGCACTTCTCAAATTCGAAAACACAAAATGATTTCTGCTGCGGAGTAGCCATTTTAAACATGTGACGGTTACCACGCAAAATAGAAGACAACTGATATCTATCTGCTATTAATATAAACTAGACTATGATTCGTTTAGCCAACAGCCGAGCCGAAGCGCAGTGATCGATAGTTTTGACAAAATAACACTTTGTAATACGTATATTCTTTTTGAAACACTCTGTATTTTGATAATTCTACACTTTAAATCAAAAGAAGGATGAAAACTTTTGGTGCGGCCGATTGGCACGAAAATGGGAGGTGCACAACTACATGCTATAGCAGTCCTATACACACAATTTCAGTGTTCTGAGGGGACTTGTTTTTGAGTTATGCGAGATAAATACATATGCACGTACAGATGCCACAAAAATTTCTTATGAATCTATTTTTAAAAAATCTCTTCTGAATCTATTTTAAATCTCTTTTATAATTCCTTTGAGGAAAAAGAGCCTTTTATTCTGTCCTTACGTACAAATGTCACACAAAAACATTGTTAAATTGCATTTGTTAGCGGTCAAAATGGATATTTTCGTTGAAGTATGGTACCCGGAATTTTTTGTGAATACAATACTTCTTTTGCTTCGCACAAGGAAGTAAAAATGCAGCTTTCAAAATTTCAGTATTTTTTTAATCGTTTGTCTTTGCGTAAAATCAGATCCTGTAATACTTTTTATAAACTTTTATTCGTGGTGCTTGACAGTCAGAAGTTTGCTGTCGAACTAGAATGCTTAAGTGCTGAGAAGATATCGAGTTGAGATTTTGTACGCACATTTTTCGTGAGCAACAGTAGCATGATATGAAATGAACTTTTCGAAATTTAGTTTAGATTTTTTTTTTTTTTTTTTTTTTAATTTAATGTTTCGCAGATACCTTCGTTTACAGAAAAAATTAGAAAGATTAGATTTTTACGCTTTGCAAAATCAGATAGTGAGGAAAACATGTCTTTTGAAGGAACCTTATATGAGATTTTTACGCAATTTCTCATTATTTGGCTAAATCGCTGAATTTTTTCGATTATTTGATGTAAATAGTTGTTAGAATGACAGTTCATTGTGGAAAAATGATTTTTTTTCAGAGGGTAAAATATAGAAATGAAAACTTAATAATAATAATTTTTTTTTTTTATAAAATAAGCTTTTACTTAAAATACATGAAATGAAAAAAATGATTTACTGATAAAAATATTGTAAAAAAGGTATATACTTTTATGAAATCAGAAAGGTTGAAATTAAGTAATTCTCTTTGCGCAGTTCATTTACAGTTTCATATCACGAACAATAAAAGCGTTGGATACGTGAATAACGAAATTGAGTAATCGAATTGATTGTCAAAAGTATAAGCCATAAATTTATCAAGGGCGACTCATGTATTATTCAAGATATAAAATTATAAATAAATTCTGTAAAGATAATTATTTAATCTTTTGTTCTCGTAAAATTATATAATAACTTATTTTTATTCTTTTGATTCATTAATTATTTTAGGAATTTTAAACAAACGCTTATTTTATATTAAAATAAAATTGCTTCATTGAATAAACTCTTCAGTTAAATAAATGTGACGTTTCTAAAATTTTGAGTCAAGCCTCGTAATGGTTTTTTTTTTATACTTTGATTGGAAAAATTCGACTGAGGAAAAGTCGCGAAGATCCGAATTGTATCTCGAATCTTCAAGATAATGGGGAATTCTAATATTCCGTTCTTAATCAGTGGCCTTTCTTTGCCTAGCATATCCTTGACCTGACGAAAGATCGTGTGATTTGTCGTAAATTCAGTAAACATTTATAAGATTTTATGCCAGTGAATGTGTCTTGTACAGTCACACATTCAGCACAGGAAATATTTTATTGTAATGATTTTTCAAAAAAATAATTTTATAGTACGAATTTCTAATTACACGTTTGAGCACGAGATGGCGCCT